TTGGTTGTTGTTGTGTTTTTTTGTTTATGGTTGTGTTTGTTTTTTGTTGTGTGTTGGTTGTTGTTTTTGTTGTGTTGGTTGGTTTTGTTGTTTTTGTTTTGTTTGTGGGTGGGGGGTGTGTGTGTTGTTTTTGTTTGGGGTGTGTTAATGAGTTAGTGGTTGTGTGTTTGGGTTTTTTTTTTTGTTTTTTTTTGGTTTTTTTTGTATTGGGTGTTTTGTTTGTTTGGTGGTGTTTTGTTTTTGATTGTTGGGTGGTGGGTGTGTTTTTGTTTTTGTTTGGGGGGTTTGGTAGTTTTTGGTGTGTTTTTTGTGTGTGTGTTGGTTGTTTGTTGTTTTTTGTTGGTGGTTGGTGATTTTGTTTTTTTTTTGTGTGTGTGTTTTTTTTTGTTGTTGTGTTTTTTCAGTTTTTTGTTTTGTTTGGGGTGTTTTGGTATTTTTTGTTTTTTTTGTTTTTTGTTTTTGCTGGGTAGTTTGTTTTGGGTACTTGTCCCATGGCTTCTTTTGTCTACTGACCCTCGTATTCTCTCTCATCAACCTTTAAAATGCAAAGGATCCAATTAAGAGTTCCCCCCCTAATGTATATTGCGGCTCAAAGGATTTTCAGGTTTCCATTTTTAAAATTTAGCATGTGAATTAGGCGTTGCATTGACAAGTGATTTTTCTCGAGACAAAGATGAGAGTGACAGCAGAGAAGAGAGGGAAGGTGATAGAGAGCGGAGCGAGAGATGGAGAGCGAGATGGCGAAGCATGGGATAGAGAGAAGAGAGAGGAGAGAGCTCGCGCATCGAGAGCATAGTCGCCGCGCGGAGAGATCGCTAGCTCGCTCGATTATCTTTCTATTTAATGTAGATTGAGATGGAGATGGCGATTGAGCCGAGAGTTGGCCAGACCAGGCATTGCTTGCACACAGTAGTCATATCTCCTCTGCAATGGTTTCAGCTTACACACATTTTTTAGGACGCTGTGGGACCCATGCCAAATCTTTTTCAGTCCTCCGAGGGGAAATAGGCTTTGTCGTGCCCTCTTCAGCGACTGTCTTGGTGTGTTTGTGACATGATAGTTGTTGGGATTGTGGACACCAAGAACTGAAGCTCTCAACCTTGTTCCAACTACAGCCCTGTCGTGAGATGGGGCATTCTCGGTCCTCCTTTTTTTTTTTCCTTTAGTCCTGTAGGTCTTGTTAGAGTCCACACTCATCCAATCTCCTTTTCTTATCACGACGTTTGAGGATGACGGGTTGTTCTATCCTTGTCATGAAGGAATCCCATATAATAGCCTAATGATTCTATCCAACTCTAGAGAAGTTGTGTTGTACAATGAATGCTGAGTAAAAGGGGTTCAAACTAAGTGGAAATGTGCTCTACCACCTTAGTATTCAAGACAGGATACCGCATGAATTGAATGGCTGCATACAGTATATATTGAAACATTTTATAATGGAATAGCAACCTCTTTTGTATGACATTCGACAGACAGTCCCACCATCTGCAAAAATCTAAATGTAGTTCCTGATTAGAAATCAATGGGAGAAAACAGACTTGAGCAGTGGAACATGTAAAACATGAAGATTGAGTTCCATGTTCTATTGGAATGTAGCATTATATATTATTTTATTCCAATCATCCCAAACATGACATATCAGTAAATATTATTTGAATGGGTCTCCATCTCTCCTGGTATTCGTATTTTGAAAGGTATGCACCTGTAACATACTCTATTTGATATACATAACCTTTAAAGAGCGCACCCATCGTTTCAAATACTATTTTAAATCATTTACAATACTTTGGATGTTCTTGATTGAGCTTGCCTGCGAACCCCACACATCTGACACTCCAGGCAGGCTAAGGCAAATGCTAAAAATATTTGAAAGATTTCTAATAGTATTTGAACCCAGGTTTGGTCTGAATGTGGAATTGCTCTTCTTCTATTCCCATCATATACCATCAACCACGACATGGCACGTCTCACAGATTGTACAGTGAGGGAAAAAAGTATTTGATCCCCGGCTGATTTTGTACGTTTGCCCACTGACAAAGAAATGATCAGTCTATCATTTTAATGGTAGGTTTATTTGAACAGTGAGAGATAGAATAACAACAATAAAATCCAGAAAAATGCATGTCAAAAATGTTATAAATTGATTTGCATTTTAATGTGGGAAATAAGTATTTGACCCCCTCTCAATCAGAAAGATTTCAGCGTGTTACCTGTATAAAAGACACCTGTCCACAGAAGCAATCGATCAGATTGGTCCAAACACACCAAGACAGTCGTGAAGAGGGCACGACAAAGCCTATTCCCCTCAGGAGACTAAAAAGATTGGGCATGGTCCTCAGATCCTCAAAAAATTATACAGCTGCACCATCGAGAGCATCCTGACTGGTTTGCATCACCGCCGGGTATGGCAACTAGCTTGCCTCTGACCGCAAGGCACTACAGAGGGTAGTGCGTGCGGCCCAGTACATCACTGGGGCAAAGCTTCCTGCCATCCAGACCTCTATACCAGGCGGTGTCAGAGGAAGGCCCTCAAAATTGTCAAAGACTCCAGCCACCTAGTCATAGACTGTTCTCTTCTGCTAACCGCCACGGCAAGCGGTACCGGAGTGCCAAGTCTAGGTCCAAAAAGACTTCTCAACAGCTTCTAACCCCTACCCCCAAGCCATAAGACTCCTGAACAGCTAATCATGGCTACCTACCACCCGGACTATTTGCACTGCCCCCCCCCACCCAACCCCCATCGCTTTTTAACGCTGGCTGCTAATCTGTTAAGTATTTTATGCATAGTCACTTTAACTCTACCCACATATACATATTACCCTCAACTACCTCAACTAGCCGGTGCCCCCGCACATTGACTCTGCAACGGTACCCCCCCCCTGTATATATAAGCCTCCCTACTGTCACTTTAATTTTACTTCTGCTCTTTTTTTTCTCAAACACTTTTTTTTTGTTGTTGTTTTATTCTTACTTTTTTTTGTTTAAAAATAAATGCACTGTTGGTTAAGGGCTGTAAGTAAGCATTTCACTGTAATGTCTGCACCTGTTGTATTCCGCGCATGTGACCAATAAAATTTGATTTGATTGATTTGAGATTCCAAATTCTCCACCATGGCCAAGACCAAAGAGCTCTCCAAGGATGTCAGGGACAAGATTGTAGACCTACACAAGTCTGGAATGGGCTACAAGACCATCGCCAAGCAGCTTGGTGAGAAGGTGACAACAGTTGGTGCGATTATTCGCAAATGGAAGAAACACAAAATAACTGTCAATCTCCCTCGGCCTGGGGCTCCATGCAAGATCTCACCCCTCGTGGAGTTGCAATGATCATGAGATCGGTGAGGAATCAGCCCAGACTACAACGGTAGGATCTTGTCAATGATCTCAAGGCAGCTGGGACCATAGTCCACCAAGAAAACAATTGGTAACACACTACGCCGTGAAGGTTTGAAATCCTGCAGTGCCCGCAAGGTCCCCCTGCTCAAGAAAGCACATATACATGCCCGTCTGAAGTTTGACAATGAACATCTGAATGATTCAGAGGAGAACTGGGGTGAAAGTGTTGTGGTCAGATGAGACCAAAATGGAGCTCTTTGGCATCAACTCAACTCGCCGTGTTTGGAGGAGGAGGAATCTGCCTATGACCCCAAGAACACCATCCCCACCGTCAAACTTGGAGGAGGAAACCTTGTGGCTTTGGGGGTGTTTTTTTCTGCTAAGGGGGATAGGACAACTTCATCACCGCATCAAAGGGACGATGGACGGGGCCATGTACCGTCAAATCTTGGGTGAGAACCTCCTTCCCTCATCCAGGGCATTGAAAATGGGTCGTGGATGGGTATTCCAGAATGACAATGACCCAAAACACAAGGCCAAGGCAACAAAGGAGTGGCTCAAGAATAAGCACATTAAGGTCCTGGAGTGGCCTAGCCAGTCTCCAGACCTTAATCCCATAGAAAATATGTGGAGGGAGCTGAAGGTTCGAGTTGCCAAACGTCAGTCTCAAAACCTTAATGACTTGGAGAAGATCTGCAAAGAGGAGTGGGACAAAATCCCTCCTGAGATGTGTGCAAACCTGGTGGCCAACTACAAGAAACGTCTGACCTCTGTGATTGCCAACAAGGGTTTTGCCACCAAGTACTAAGTCATGTTTTGCAGAGGGGTCAAATACTTATTTCCCTCATTAAAATGCAAATCAATTAATAACATTTTTGACATGCGTTTTTTCTAGATTTCTTTGTTGTTATTCTGTCTCTCACTGTTCAAATAAACCTACCATTAAAATTATAGACTGATCATTTCTTTGTCAGTGGGCAAACGTACAAAATCAGCGGGGGATCAAATACTTTTTGTATTCCTAAGGCAGCCCGCCAATGTTGAATGGGAAGCATGCCATTCTATGGAAATTCAAATAGCATTCCTGATAACATGTGTCAGATCATTCGCTATACGGTATGGTATGTGTGAACTTTACAATAAAAGCATTTTTTAAACTCTGTCATGGTGCCTCAGAAACAGAATTGATATGATACAGGATGTGGCCTTCAGGTCTCAAGTTTTTTCCGCTCTGTGATGTTACCTGGCTCCTCACCAACCTCTGCCATTCAATATGCATATCCTATCAAAGTAAACATCAAGCATGAAACTTTAATGAATATAGGAATAGAGAGCGAGAGCGAGAGAGGGAGAGAGAGAGAGAGAGAGAGAGAGAGAGAGAGAGAGAGAAGAGGAGAGAGAAGCGAGAGGAGAGAGCGAGAGAGAGAGAAGGGAGTCTCCTCCGCTTCCTATTCGCTTCCCTTCTCTCTTCCTCTCGTGCGCTGCCCTTCCCTCTCCTACGCTCGCGCTCGCGCTCTCTCTCTCGTCTCTCTCCTCGTCCTCTCTCCTCTCTCTCTCTCTCCTCCTCTCTCTGTCTTTGCCTCCCTTGCTCTTTTTCTCTTCTCTTGTGTGCGCACACGAGAATTGATTTGCTGAAGCCCATGTGGACAGTTTTATAGAGCTTTTCAAAGAGGATGAGAACCACAAGCCGAGCTCTCCCGCCTCCCCTTCGCCCTCATCCCTCCTCCTCCCGAATCCTCCTCCGCTACCTCCGCAGCCTCCTCCGCCTCCGCCTCCTCCTACCCATCCGACGCCGAAGACAGCCAAAAGAAGAAGAAGAATCACTATGGGTGTCTAAGTGACTTTCAAATGTGGATCTATGGTTATATCCCAAATGGCACCCTATTCCCTATATAGTGCACTACTTTTGACCAGAGCCCTATAGACCCAAAATTAGTGCACTATATAGGGATTAGGGTGTCATTTGAGTTGCAGATATGAACCACTGCATACCGCAATTATACATACCATTAAATGAAGACATGGCTGCATTTCCGTGGTTCACACACACAGCTAGATTCACTGTTACTGGCATTATGACATGATGGTAACAGGTAGACACTGTTATTGGCCTTAGGACATGATGGTAACAGGTAGCAAGCTCGGTTAACTTCTACAGTTCTAGCCTGAAGTTTAAACTAAGATGATGAATATGAAGGTCTGTTTTACCATCTACATGTAGGATGAATATGAAGGTCTGTTTTACCATCTACATGTAGGATGAATATGAAGGTCTGTTTTACCATCTACATGTAGATGAATATGAAGGTCTGTTTTAACCATCTACATGTAGGATGAATATGAAGGTCTGTTTTACCATCTACATGTAGGATGAATATGAAGGTCTGTTTTACCATCTACATGTAGGATGAATATGAAGGTCTGTTTTACCATCTACATGTAGGATGAATATGAAGGTCTGTTTTACCATCTACATGTAGGATGAATATGAAGGTCTGTTTTACCATCTACATGTAGGATGAATATGAAGGTCTGTTTTACCATCTTCATGTAGGAGAGAACATCATTCTTGTAGTTCCACTGTCATCCTCTGTGTTTCTCTTGCTTGACAAATGAGCAGTATACTCTGAGACACGTCTATTTGATCTATCTCAGGCAAATATGTGTGTTCGAGCGATGGCTACATCGGTTACACTGCCAACTTCCTTTTGATACCTTGATGGATAAAAGTGTACAATGACCTATATACTATTCTAGTAGTAAGTAAAATGTCCATCCTCTGACAATCAAGTATTCTGTTCTATTCTGTCTTGATGCATGTCTTGGCATATCTCAAACATAGCATCTGTATGTTATTTAACAATAGGTATCCAAACCCTAATTGGGAGAACTGTCCTAGAGTATACTGTGCTGTTGTAACGTTTGAATTCATCCTCCTACATACAACCTATTTTAAAATCAGATTGCCCCCCGATTTACCTCAAACCAACCAGACAGTTTCACCAAGTTAGCCCGCACCGCAGACCGAGTTGCTAGGCAACTGACGACACTTGCTGCCAACGACAGCCTGAAAACGATTATTTGATTGGAGGAAATATTTTATATAACGCCCTGACAGGGAAGACATTTCACATGATTATATAAAACTGTGAGTGTAATTTGAATTTAAAAGAAAATAACATTTGGATGTTCTGACAGATGTGTAAACATCTCAGTCACAAGGCAAGGAGAGAACGGTGTCGTCAAATTTCTGCCCTGCTAGAGCAGCCCCTATAAGCACTATTATTGTGAAGTGCCTCCTGTAGCTCAGTTGGTAGAGCATGGCGCTTGCAACGCCAGGGTTGTGGGTTCGATTCCCACGGGGGGCCAGTGTGAAAAATGTATGCACTCACTTAAACTGTAAATTGCTCTGGATAAGAGCGTTTGCTAAATGACTAAAATGTAAGTGTAAAGTGTAGGAAAAACAATGGCTCAGCCGCGAAGTGGTAGGCCACACAAGCTCACAGAACGGGACCGCCGAAGTGCTGAAGTGCTGATAGAAATAGTCTGTCCTCAGTTGCAACACTCACTACTGAGTTCCAAACTGCCTCTGGAAGCAACTTCAGCACAATAACTGTTCGTTGGGAGCTTCATGATATGGGTTTCCATGGCAGAGCAGCCGCACACAAGCCTAAGATTGCAAAGCCAAGCGTCGGCTGGAGTGGTGTAAAGCTCGCCGCCATTGGACTCTGGAGCAGTGGAAACGCGTTCTCTGGAGTGATGAATCAACGCTTCACCATCTGGCAGTTCGACTGACAAATCTACGTTTGTCGGATGCTAGGAGAACACTACCTGCCTCAATGCATAGTGCCAACTGTAAAATCTGGTGGAGGAGGAATAATGGTCTGGGGATGTGTTTCATGGATCAGGCCCCTTACATTTTACATTTTAGTCATTTAGCAGACACTCTTATCCAGAGCAACTTACAGTTAGTGAGTGCATACATTTTCATACTGACCCTCCGTGGGAATCGACCCCACAACCCTGGCATTGCAAACGCCATGCTCTACCAACTGAGCTACACGGGACCCTTAGTTCCAGTGAAGGGAAATCTTAACACTACAGCATACAATGACATTCTAGACAATTCTGTGCTTCCAACTTTGTGGCAGCAGTTTGGGGAAGGCCCTTTCCTGTTTCAGCATGACAATGCCCCCGTTCACAAAGTGAGGTCCATACAGAAATGGTTTGTCGAGATCAGTGTGGAAGAACTTGGCTGGCCTGCACAGAGCCCTGACCTCAAGCCCATCTAACATCTTTGGGATGAATTGGAATGCCGACTGCAAGCCAGGCCTAATCGTCCAACATCAGTGCCCGACTTCACTAATGCACTTGTGGCTGAATGGAAGCAAGTCCCCGCAGCAATGTTCCAACATCTAGTGGAAAGCCTTCCCAGAAGAGTGGAGGCTGTTATAGCAGCAAAGGGGGGGGGGGGGGGGACCAACTCCATATTAATGGCCATTATTTTGGAATGAGATGTTCGACGAGCAGGTGTCCATATACTTTTGGTCATGTAGTGTATTTCTCAGGAAATGTCATTTTCCCTTAGCAAATAGCCAGCAGAAAAGTGAGATATTATTACACTAATTAATAAGGAAGTTCGCTAACACTTAGATCAGTACAGGGAGGAGGCTAGAGAATGAGAAGAGACCAGCCGGGCAGCTAATGCAGTGTACCCACGTATCTGCTGCCCTTGCATTGGTATCCTCTCTTGGATCTAGCCTTCTATACTGAACAAAAATATAAACGCAACATGCAACAATTTAAAAGATTTTAAAGAGTTACAGTTCATGGTAAGCTGTAGGCCACACTATTTACCAAGTTTTAATCTTTATTTTTTGTAGCTGTCTATTTACCACCACAAACCGATACTGGCACTAAGATTGCACTCAATGAGTTGTATAAGGCCATAAGCAAATAGGAAAATGCTCATCCAGAGGCAGCGCTCCTAGTGGCCGGAGACTTTAATGCAGGGAAACTTAAATCCGTTCTACCTCATATCTACCAGCATGTTAAATGTGCAACCAGAGGGGAAAAAAACTCTAGACCACCTTTACTCCACACACAGAGACGCGTACAAAGCTCTTCCTCACCCTCCATTTGGAAAATCTGACCATAACTCTATCCTCCTGATTCCTGCTTATAAGCAAAAACTAAAGCAGGAAGCACCAGTGACTCGGTAATAAGGAAGTGGTCAGAATAAGCAGATGTTGTGGGTTCGATTCCCACGGGGGGCCAGTATGAAAATGTATGCACTCACTAACTGTAAGTCGCTCAGGATAAGAGTGTCTGCTAAATGACTCACATGTAAAATGTAATGCTACAGGACTGTTTTGCTAGCACAGACTGGAATATGTTCCGGGATTCTTCCAATGGCATTGAGAAGTACACCACATCAGTCACTGGCTTCATCAATAAGTGCATCGATGACGTCGTCTCCACAGTGACCGCACCCCAACCAGAAGCCATGGATTAAAGGCAACATCCACACTGAGGTAAAGGGTAGAGCTGCCGCTTTCAAGGAGCGGGACTCTAACCCGGACACTTATAAGAAATCCCGCTGTGCCCTCCGACGAACCATCAAACAGGCAAAAAGTCAATACAGGACTAAGATTGAATCGTACTACACCAGCTCCGATGCTTGTCGGATGTGGCAGGGCTTGCAAACTATTACAGACTACAAAGGGAAGCACAGCCGCGAGCTGCCCAGTGACACGAACCTACCAGACGAGCATAATCACTTCTATGCTCGCTTCGAGGCAAGCAACACTGAAGCATGCATGAGAGCATCAGCTGTTCCGGATGACTATGTGATCACGCTCTCCGTAGCCGATTTGAGTAAGACTTTTAAGCAGATCAACATTCACAAGGCCGCAGGGTCAGACGCATTACCAGGACGCATACTCAGAGCATGCGCTGACCAACTGGCAAGTGTCTTCACTGACATTTTCAACATGTCCCTGACTGAGTCTGTAATACCAACATGTTTCAAGCAGACCACCATAGTCCTTGTGCCCAAGAACACTAAGATAACCTGCCTAAATGACTACCAACCCGTAGCACTCACGTCTGTAGCCATGAAGTGCTTTGAAAGGCTGGTCATGGCTCACATCAACACCATTATCCCAGAAACCCTAGACCCACTCCAATTTGCATACCTCCCCAACAGATCCACAGATGATGCAATCTCTATTGTACTCCACACTGCCCTTTCCCAGCTGGACAAGAGGAACAACTACGTGAGAACGCTATTCACTGACTTCAGTTCAGCGTTCAACACCATAGTGCCCTTAAAGCTCATCACTAAGCTAAGGACCCTGGAACTGAACACTTCCCTCTGCAACTGGATCCTGGACTTCCTGATGGGCCGCCCCCAGGTGATAAGGGTAGGTAGCAATACATCCACCACGCTGATCCTCAACACGGGGGCCCCTCAGGGGTGCGTTCTTAATCCCCTCCTGTACTCCCTGTTCACCCATGACTGCAGGGGCTTCACAACTCCAACACCATTATTAAGTTTGCCGACGACGCAACAGTGGTAGGCCTGATCACCGACAACAATGAGACAGCCTATAGGGAGGAGGTCAGAGACCTGGCTGTGTGGTGCCAGGATAACAACCTCTCCCTCAACGTGATCAAGACAAAGGAGATGATTGTGGACTACAGAAAAAAAAGAGGACTGAGCACGCCCCCATTCTCATTGACGGGCTGTAGTGGAACAGGTTGAGAGCTTCAAGTTCCTTGGTGTCCACATCACCAACAAACTATCATGGTCCAAACACACCAAGACAGTCGTGAAGAGGGCACGACAACGCCTATTCTCCCTCAGGAGACTGAAAAGATTTGGTGTGGGTCCTCAGATCCTCAAACATTCTACAGCTGCGCCATCAAGAGCATCCTGACTGGTTGCACCACTGCCTGGTAGGCCACTGCTCGGCCTCAGACCGCAAGGCACTATAGAGGGTAGTGCGTATGGCCCAGTACATCACTGGGGCCAAGCTTCCTTCCATCCAGGACCTATATACCAGGCGGTGTCAGAGGAAGGCCCTAAAAATTGTCAAAGACTCCAGCCACCCTAGTCATAGACTGTTCTCTCGGCTACCGCACGGCAAGCGGTACCGGAGCGCCAAGTCTAGGTCCAAAAGGCTTCTTAACAGCTTCTAACCCCAAGCCATAAGACTACTGAACAGCTAATCATGGCTACCCGGACTGTTTGCATTGTTGGTTAAGGGCTTGTAAGTAAGCATTTAACTGTAACGTCTACACCTGCTGTATTCAGCGCATGTGGCAAATAAAATTTAATTTGATTTGATTTTAAATCAGTCAATTGAAATAAATTCATTAGGCCGTAATCTATCGATTTCACATGACTGGGAATACAGATAGGTTAGTCACAGAAACCTTAAATGAGCCTCACAACCGGCATTAGGATCTCGTCACGGTAATTTTGTGCATTCAAAATACCATCGATAAAATGCAATTGTGTTTGTTGTCCGTAGCTTATGCCTGCCCATACCATAACCCCACCGTCACCATGGGGCAGTCTGTTCACAACGTTGACATCAGCAAACCGCTCGCCGACAGGACGCCATACACGTGGTCTAAAACAACGTTTGAGGTGGCTTATGGTAGAGAAATTAACATTAAATTATCTGGCAACAGCTCTGGTGGACATTCCTGCAGTCAGCATGCCAATTTCACGCTCCCTCAAAACTTGAGACATCTGTGGCATTGTGTTGTGTAACAAAACTGCACATTTTAGAGTGGCCTTTTAATTGTCCCCAGCACAAGGTGTACCTGTGTAATGATCATGCTGTTTATTCAGCTTCTTGATATGCCACACCTGTCAGGTGGATGGATTATCTTGGGAGAGTAGAAATGCTCACTAACACGGATGTAAATACATTTGAGAGAAATGTGCTTTTTGTGTGTATGGAATATTTCTGGGGTATTTTATTTCAGCTCATGAAACATGGGACCAACACTTTAAATATTATATTTGTGTTCAGTGTATAAACATCTTTGGCGTGTTGAATAGCATAAAAACCACTCACAAGTAGACACTTCATCAAACACACGACAAGACAGTATCTATCCCCCATGTCCCTTTCTGTCCCTCAGATGATTCGGCCACTCTCCCTCTCATAGCTGTATTGCACCAATCATCTACTGCAGTAAACCAACTTCGGCCCAGCTATAGTACGTTCATAGCATTGGAATTGCAGTTCATCTAGTCGACATAATGTGCAGGCAGCAACACAGTTGTCAGTAATTACCATGTTCTATATGCTGTGTGTTAGAGAGGTCCCATGGGAAATGAACAGGGTCAAGGGTCACACAGGCTGGTGATCGGCCTATTGGAGACACCACAGGAGGCTGGTGAGGGGAGGACGGCTCATAATAATAGCTGGAATTAAGTAAATGGAATGGTATCAAACACAAGGAAACCATGGAAACCGTGTGTTTGATGTGTCGATACCATTCCATTAATTCCATTCCAGTTATTACTATGAGCCCGTCACTCCCCAGTTCATGTGCCACCAGCCGCCTGTGAGAGACAAGCTCAGAAGGAATTTTTTTAAAAAAATAAATTAACGAATCTATGGTGCGTGTGTGTGGGGGGAGGGTCCTGGCTATGTGTGTGTGTGTGTGTGTGTGTGTGTGTGTGTGTGTGTGTGTGTGTGTGTGTGTGTGTGTGTGGAGTGTGTGTGTGGAGTGTGTGTGTGGAGTGTGTGTGTGTGCGTCTGTGCATATGTTTGTGTGTGATTTGTATTATGAAATGCAAGTGAGAAAGCATATAGATATTTATATACATTTTCCTTCACCAATGTCCCTCAGACTGAATCCATATCAGAATCATTTATAAATAATTATTCATTTAATTCACAGTTTTCTATGTCCACAACATTTACACAGACTGACAAGGTGTATCCAGTTGAAAGATTTCATCCCTTATTGATGTCACTTGCTAAATCACTTCAATCAGTGTAGATGAAGGGGAGGAGACAGGTTAAAGAAGGATTTTCAATCCTTGAGACAATTGAGACATGGATTTATTTATGTGTGCCGTTCAGAGGGTGAATAGACAAAAGATTTAAGTGCCTTTGAACGGTGTATGGTAGTAGGTGCCAGGCGCACTGGTTTGAGTGTGTCAAGTACTGAAACTCTGCTGGGTTCTTCCACGCTCAACAGTTTCCCATGCGTATCAAGAATGGTCCACCACCCAAAGGACATCCAGCCAATTTGACACAACTGTGGGAAGCATTTGAGTCAGCATGGGCCAGCATCCTTGTGGAATACTTTCAACACCTTGTAGAGTCCATGCCCCAACGAATTTAGGCTGTTCTGAGGGCCTAAGAGGGTGCAACTCAATATTTGGAAAATGTGTTCCTAATGTTTCAGATACACTCAGTGCAACTATACCCATAGCTTGACAGCGAGCAAGTCTCAATATTAGGTAGACACCACCATCTAGTGTATATATTAAATAATGCATCAGAAGAATTGGGCAAAATAAGCTGTCTTTAGGTACAGATCTAGGATCAGTTGATCTTCCTCCAATCCTATCCTACGCCATTAGGCAACCTTAGATCAGTGTCTATGGATCAGGTGTAAGGACAATCAGAATGAACAGCTAGCTGTTGATTAATAAACAGGCTTAATGGCAGTGGTGTAAAGTACTTCAGTAAAAATACTTTAAAGTACAATTAAGTTCTTTTTGAGGGTATTTTACTTGCTTGCTTCCTCTCTCTCTCTGTCTCCGCTGCTTCCTCATGCAGGGATGTAGCTCAGTTGGTAGAGCATGGCGCTTGCAACGCCAGGGTTGTGAATTCGATTCCCACGGGGGGCCATTATGAAAAAATAAAAAAAATAAAAAATGAATGCACTCACTAACTGTAAGTCGCTCTGGATAAGAGCGTCTGCTAAAATGACTAAAATGTCAAATAAGTTGCAGCCTGCCTCAGCCTCACCATTGAGCGCCACATCACTGTTTGTCTCAGTAGCCAACTCTCTGTAAAGCTAAGTTACGATGAGAACTTTGCATATTTTTTGCTCCTGCTGAGGTAGCGTCTAACTTCATATTTCTAACTGGCTAAGCAATACTAGCCAGCAGTGGTTTTGTTAAAAATACTTTAAAGTACTTAAGTCGTTTTTTTGTGGTTTCTGACAACTTTTACTTTTACTTCACTACATTCCTAAAGAAAATAATGTACTTTTTACTCCATACATTTTCCCTGACACCCAAAAGTACTCGTTACATTTTGAATGCTTAGCAGGACAGGAAAATGGTCCACTTATCAAGAGAACATCCCAGGTCAACCCTACTGCCTCTGATCTGGCGGACTGACTTAACACAAATGCTTCAATTGTAAATTATGTCTAAGTGTTGGAGTGTACCCCTGGCAATTCCCCCCCAAATAAAATAAAATACTATACATTTGTGCTGTTTGGTTTGCTTAATATAAGTACTTTTAAATTATTCATATTTTTACTTTTACTTTTGATAAGTAAGTCGATTTAAAACCAAATACTTTTAGACTTTTACTCAAGTAGTATTTTACTGGGTGACTTTCACTTATACTTAAGTCATTTTCTATTAAGGTATCTTTACTTTTACTCAAGTATGACAATTGGGTACTTTTTCCACCACTGCTGTCAGCCTCCAAAACAGACCATTATTGCTGCTTAATGGTAGAATAGCATAATAATCTGTATTTATAATAATTTCTCTCATAGCCCCTTCTGAAGTACATTTTAAAAAGGCCATGCAATAAAACCAGTGACACAATCTAACAGGAATATTGTTGCTTCATCCGGATCAATCAAATACACATGAACATGATCCTCCATAAGGTTTTCTGTGGACTGACCACTGAAAGATAACCAGTTGCAGAGGCAGGCACTCTCTCATCACTCAGAGGTTGTCTTTTGTATAGTTGCACCATTTGTAATGGAATATTAACCAATTATATGTTACAATGTAACAAATATAATCTACAAACATTCTACAAACTTTACACTTTTAGAACAGTGAATAAAACACATGGATTTATTCATTATAGGAATCTACTCGTTTTCTACTATTTTCCTTCATATTCTTTTTTCATGAAGTAGATTTGGATAAAAACTATACCAATTCTTCACAGACAAGACTCACTGGTTACCACGGTTTCTCCAACGGTCAGACTCTTTTGTTGCTCATCAGTCTTACGCCATGTCTCGTCTTTCCTACCGTAGCACTCAGGTTTACACTTCAGCAGTGTTACACAGTGGGTCTGCAGCTCTTTATTCATACACAGCAGTATGATGGGGCTGGAGAGGAGAGGAAGGTCCAGTAGAAACTCTTTCACCATCTCCTGGCACACTGTGTGTTCCTCCATCAGAGTGAATATCCCACCTACAGAGGGAGAGAGGATAGGAGGAAGTAGAGAAGGGGTAGAGAGATAGAGCGAGAGAGAGAGAGCAGAGAGAGAGAGTATAGAGATCGAGAAGCTCGGCTACTAGATGCTCTCTCTCTCGCTCTACTTCTTCCTCTCCTCCTCTCTCTCTCGCTCTCTCTCTCTCTCGCTCCTCTCTCTCTCTCTCTCCTCCTCTCCTCTCTCTCTCTCTCTCTCTCTCTCTCCTCTCTCTCTCTCTCTCTCTCTCGCTTCTTTTCTGCGTAGATGAGACAAAGAGACCACCGTTTTGAAGTTTGTGCTATGCTCAGAATGTAATATAAAGTTTTATATCAGTATCTGCTAAAAAAGGTATTCAACAAGAAAATATGTCCAATGCAGTGATAGTACTAACCAATACCAGACAATATGGCCAGTGATAGTACTAACCAATACCAGACAATATGGCCAGTGATAGTACTAACCAATACCAGACAATATGGCCAGTGATAGTACTAACCAATACCAAACAATATGGCCAGTGATAGTACTAACCAATACCAGACAATATGGCCAGTGATAGTACTAACAATACAATGCAGCACATAATGCACATGATAAAATCTCCACACAAAAAAAACTTGTCTCGGTCAAGGAGAAGACAAGAGACTAGTTCGTTATTAGTCACTCACCAGGAAGATGTGCCAGTAATGTAATCAGACATATGACACTAAACACCTTGGCCAGTTTCTTATTGACCGTCTGGCTCCGGTGCATCACCGTGGCGCTCCTGAAGATCGTATGAAGCACATGAGCATAGAAATAGAGGTTCAACGGCAGGAACACTGCGATCTTGGATAGATAGATAGATAGATAGATAGATAGATAGATGATAGACTAGATAGATCGCTGATGCTACATGTATAGATGCTCAGATAGCTAGTAGATCGCTAGTAGATGATCGCATAGATCGATCAGTACTCAGATCGATCGATGATGATAGATCTATCGCATGCTGATGCTCGCTCGCTCGATCGATGCTCGCATGTACGCTACCGCTCTCGTCGCTCCGATCGCTCGCTCGCTCGCTCGCTGCTCGCTGCTCGCTCGCTCGATCGACTCGCATCGTCGCTCGTCGCTCGCTGCTGCTCGCTCGTCGCTCGTACGCTCGACTAGTCGTCGATAGATCGATCTATCTTCATCCTGAGGGGACCCTTCCACACACTCCAGCAGAGATATACAGATAATGTAACAGGAGCCATAAAAAGGTGCAATACACATGCCAGACCAACAACATAGCATCAGGTAGCGTCAATAAATACCACAAATACAACAACACTGATAAATACCTTGACAAGCATGAGAACCCTTATGACTCTATCATTGATATAGGAGAAGCATGTGTGGTTGACTGGGTCCAGGTGTTCCACCCTGCTCCCCAGCACCCACTGGGTCAGCTCCTTCAACCCCACAGGGAGGAGGGGGAAGAGCAGCTCCAGAGCCAGGAACGCCCTACTGTTCACCAGACGACCACAGTCACACACCACCGTCAGGTAGATTGAGAAGGAGATGAAGGAGACGTAGTGGTAGGAAGCTGAAGAGGAGACGTTTTTATTCAATTATTGCAAAAAATGACAAAATACAGACAGAACAAAATATAGAATCATTGGCATTCTACAGCAACAGAAATAATAATAATAATAATAATAATAATAATAATAATAATAATAATAATAATAATAATAATAATAATTATTATTATTATAATAATAATATTAAGGGGCATATCCTAACTTCCAGTAACATTTTTACTTTATCTCTCATTGACATTAACGCATGACTAAATGAAAATGTGACTTAAGTGAAAGTGAGGATTAATTCCTTAAAAAAGGTACAAAGTGGTTATACATTTCCCAAAAAATTATAACACACATTACATCTAAGGCATACCTGAGGAAGTCAGTTGCTTGGCGCTGACCATGACCTCACAGAGCCCCTCGCCCAGAGCCCAACGTCCATGGGTCCTCCAGTGGATAATCAGGGGCCAAAGGCTAACAAATAAAAAATAGTAATAATTGATTGGGTTTATATAGCGCTTTTCCAGTAGCTTAAAGGCTGCATTCACACAGGCAGCCCAATTCTGATCTTTTTTTTGCCTCTAATTGGTGTTTTGATCAATCAGATCAGATATTTTGCCCATAATTGGGCTGTCTGTGTAAACGCAGCTAACGTTCTTCACAGAGCAAGGGGGAAACTCACCTGAGGTTGACCAGGTTGCAGGTGGTGCTGCCTAGGATGAAGACGGCCACGTTGTTCCGTATCTTCCTGCGTCGGCTGAGCAGGCAGGAGATGAGCGAGGCCAGGATAAAGATGTTGAGACCGAAGCCGGGGACCAAGAGGATGACCTTGGATGAAGCACATAGCTGCAGGTAGGTGTTGACTCCGCAGTAGAACGAGGACGTGTGGTTCAGGTACATGGCCGTGGACTGGGGCTGATGGAAAGGAACAGGGTTTTTAAAGCCTGTCCAGGCATTAATCGAGCACACAGAGTGAGCTTTCCACTTTGTTGTCAACACCTTATGTAGCACTGTATTGGATAACATGTTTTCTTTCTTACCCAGGCCCCCACCCTTGAATTTCAAGTTACCCTTAATGAAGTCTGTCTTGTTTCTGAAGCCTGTTATTTCTAAGGTTGCGTCCCAAATGACAGCCTATTCCCTATGGGGCTCTGGTCAAACGTAGTGCACTCTATATGGAATAAGGTGCCATTTGGAACTCAACCCTGTTGTTTCTAAGACTTTGGCCCAACGGAGCCAATTACAAAGGATCTGGGCCCTAATCCTTCCTCTCCTTATAAACCTTACATGTTGAGTTAATTGGCAAATTAGCATCTCCCCAAGACAATAATATGGCTTATTACATATGCCTATAGCCTATAGCCTATACAGCATGATTTCAATGGAGAGTTAACCTCTCAAGGATCTGACCCTTTTTTCAATTTTCGCCTAAAATGACATACCCAAATCTAACTGCCTGTAGCTCAGGACCTGAAGCAAGGATATGCATATTCTTGATTCCATTTGAAAGGAAACACTTTGAAGTTTGTGGAAATTTGAAATTAATGTAGGAGAATATAACACATTAGATTTGGTAAAAGATAATACAAACAAAAAAACATGCGATATCTTTTTTTTTTTTTTTCATCTTTGAAATGCAAGAGAAAGGCCACAATATTCTCATGTCACCCCGCTCCTCCGCACACTCCACTGGCTTCCAGTTGATGCTTGCATCTACTACAAGACCATAGTGCTTGCCTACGGAGCTGTGAGGGGAACGGCACCTCCTTACCTTCAGGCTCTGATCAGTCCCTACACCCAAACGAGGGCACTACGTTCATCCACCTCTGGCCTGCTAGCTCCCCTACCTCTACGGAAGCCCAGTTCCCACTCAGCCCAGTCAAAGCTATTTGCTGCTCTGGCACCCCAATGGTGGAACAAGCTCCCCCACGACGCCAGGACAGCGGAGTCACTGACCACCTTCCGGAGACACTTGAAACCTACCTCTTTAAGGAATACCTGGAATAGTATAAAGTAATCCTCTACCTCCCCCACCCCCCCCATAAAAAAAAAGAAGAAAAAAAGTGGTTGTCCCACTGGCTATCATAAGGTTGAATGCACCAATTTGTAAGTCGCTCTGGATAAGAGCGTCTGCTAAATGACGTAAATGTAAATGTAAATGTAAATATAACAACAAAGCCTATTCCCCCTCAGGAGACTGAAAATATTTGGTATGGGTCCTCAGATCCTCAAAAAATTCTACAGCTGCACCATCGAGAGCATCCTGACTTGTTGCATCACCGCCTGGTATGGCAACTGCTCGGCCTCCGACCGCAAGGCACTACAGAGGGTAGTGCGTACGGCCCAGTACATCACTGGGGCCAAGCTTCCTGACATCCAGGACCTCTGTACCAGGCGGTGTCAGAGGAAGGCCCTCAAAATTGTCAAAGACTCCAGCCACCCTAGTCATAGACTGTTCTCTCTGCTACCGCACGACAAGCGGTACCGGAGTGCCAAGTCTAGGTCCAAAATACTTCTCAACAGCTTCTACCCCTAAGCCATAAGACTCCTGAACAGCTAATCATGGCTACCCGGACTATTTGCACTGCCCCCCCCACCCCACCCCCACCCCATCTTTTTATGTGTGCTGCTACTCTGTTAATTATTTATGCATAGTCACTTTAACTCTACCCACATGTACATATTACTTCAACTACCTCAACTAGCCGGTGCCCCCGCACATTGACTCTGCACCGGTACCCCCCTGTATATATAGCCTCCCTACTGTTATTTTATTTTACTTCTGCTTTTTTTTCTCAACACTTTTTTGTTGTTGTTTTATTTTACATTTTTTTATTTAAAATAAATGCATTGTTGGTTAAGGGCTGTAAGTAAGCATTTCACTGTAATGTCTGCACCTGTTGTATTCGGCGCATGTGGCCAATAAAATTGGATTTGATTTGATTTGATTTGAAACATTGCAGTTTAGGCGCAATTTAGATTTTGGCCACTAGATGGCAGCAGTGTGTGTGCAAAGCTTCAGATTAATCCAGTGAAGCATTGCGATAGTGGACTATCGGCCCAAATGTGCCGAATTGGTCAATTGATACATTTTCAAGTACATAACTATAGAGAACATACAAAAATTATATGGTAATACAAAATGTAAGTTTACACACTCCCAGGAATGTCATACATGATGTATCATTAGCTTATGCACTAACTTTCACACATATAGATGGCTGGGCGGGGTGGGTGTGGAGCCAGAGACTAAAGGGGTTCAAACTGTAGAACCCAGTTCCTACATTTGAATATAAAAATTGAATTTATCAAACAAAACTATGCTACAATTTATCTCTGGATGACAAATCACAGCAAGATTACTGAATGTAAGTACATTATTTACCTTCAGAGGTGAATGTATCAAACCAGTTGCCGTGATATGTTTTTTGTTGTTGTGCACTCTCCTCAATAGCATGGTATTTTTTTCACTGTAACAGCTACTGTAAATTGGACAGTGCAGTTAGATTAACAAGAATTTAAGCTTTCTGCCCATATAAGACATGTCTATGTCCTGGAAAGTTTGCTGTTACTTACAACAGTCATGCTAATCACATTAGCGCATGTTAGCTCAACCATCCTGTATATGGGACACCGATCCCGTAGAGGTTAAAAGGCTACTTCAGGATGTTGGCAGTTAAGCCCTTTACCTAATTCCCCAGAGTCAGATTAACTCGTGGATATCATTTTTATGTCTCTGCATGCAGTTTGAAGGAAGTTGCTAACTAGCATTAGCACAATTGCTGTCTCAGTCATTGCGCTAATGCTAGTTAGCTTCCTTAATACTGGATACAGAGACATAAAAATGGTATCCATGAGTCCATCTGACTCTGGGGAAGCAAATAAAACTTGCCAAAATCCGGAAGTGTCCCTTTAACCCTTGTGTGGTGTTCATGTTTTTGTTATTCACCCTGATGGGTCTGATGGACCCACAACATTATTGGGATTTTAAAACAATACAGTCATAACAATTTACGTAAAAATACTTAATACAAGCAATATAGACCTCACACATGGTTAATATTTGCCATTTACCTCTGCTAGATCACATTTATCAATAAAAGCGTTATTCGTTTTTTAAAATAAAATAATATTAAAGACATGGGTGGAATAAATCATGTTAATCTTGAACAAATATAAATGAAACAAGGTTTTCATCACTATTGATGTTTAATGCTTTGAACTGAACAAATTGGAAGGACAAACTTTACATACAGTATTTTATGGAAATGATAAATGAGCCCCATTGAACACAAATTAAGGCCGATCTACACACCACATGAGGGACAGAGTTTTACTGTGTGTGTGTTTGCAAATGTATTTCTTCCACTTCATGCATGTGTACTGTGTCTTCATGTTCTTCCTGGGTTCACACACATCGGCTGCAATCTAGAATGATGAAAACACTTGGTTCAGGAATTTTGCATTCATCTCACTCACTCACAGATATAGTTACAGCAGGCCAAGGTAGGAGAGTCAGACACACACACATGCAACAACATCACTCACACTTACTTCCTGTATTAGAGTTGTTGGTTCTGTGGGTCGGGTGGATGGGGCACCAGCATCCTCCTCCTGAATACTCCTCACGATGGCTGTCAGAAACTGGGGTCCTTGGGATATGTTGCCTCCTCTGGATTTGAGGTCTTACCAATGCCTTGCCCAGCTCCTCGAGAAAGAGCCATATCCTCTGGAGCGTCCCCCTGTTCCAATCTGGGTTCAACGCCATCCAGATGACAAACGTGTTGTACGCCTAGATGTCCAAGATGTTGAAGAATATCACAAGTGGCCAGCGTAGGGTTATTTTGCAGCTGTAGACCAGTCACCAGCTTGTCTAAATTGTCCAGCCCTCCTTTTGTGGCAATTTAATCCATTATGATTTCTGGTTTTTGATGCTCCTGGCCACATATTCTCCCATCCCTATGCAGCGTACTCATGAGTACCACATTTTTGCCTTTCTTTGGCACGTAGGATACTAGGGATGTGTCGGCCGTGAACACCAACTTAGAGGAATGGATAGGCCTGTTCCGTGTATTCAACAGTTGAGGTGGGAGCTCTGGCTTGTTTTTTCATACTGTTCCTACCATTATTGGGAATTTAAAACAATACAGTCATAACAATTTACGTAAAAATACTTAATACAAGCAATAAAGACCTCACACATGGTTAATATTTGCCATTTACCTCTGTTAGATCACATTTATCAATAAAAGCGTTATTCGTTTTTTAAAATAAAATTATATTAAAGACATGGGTGGAATAAATCATGTTAATCTTGAACAAATATAAATGAAACAAGGTTTTCATCACTATTGATGTTTAATGCTTTGAACTGAACAAATTGGAAGGACAAACTTTACATACAGTATTTTATGGAAATACATGCTCCCAGGTGTCTTTTATACAGGTAACGAGCTGAGATTAGGAGCACACTCTTAAAGGGAGTGCTCCTAATCTCAGTTTGTTACCTGTATAAAAGACACCTGTCCACAGAAGCAATCAATCAATCAGATTCCAAACTCTCCACCATGGCCAAGACCAAAGAGCTCTCCAAGGATGTCAGGGACAAGATTGTAGACCTACACAAGGCTGGAATGGGCTACAAGACCATCGCCAAGCAGCTTGGTGAGAAGGTGACAACAGTTGATGCGATTATTCGCAAATGGAAGAAACACAAAATAACTGTCAATCTCCCTCGGCCTGGGGCACCATGCAAGATCTCACCTCGTGGAGTTGCAATGATCATGAGAACAGTGAGGAATCAGCCCAGAACTGTACAGGAGGATCTTGTCAATGATCTCAAGGCAGCTGGGACCATAGTCACCAAGAAAACAATTGGTAACACACTACGCCGTGAAGGACTGAAATCCTGCAGC